AGAGAGAGAAACAATGAGGAGGAGCGAATAAGGGACTGTCACGCTGCTTCACAACTCAGAGAAGCTGTAGAGACAAGGGACGATAAACCTCCCCAACTGTTCTGGAGTAAAGTTCAGACAAGTCGCCTAGTTTTAGACTGAATGGGAAGAAAGTTGAACAAAGGCTACTTGTAGATCTAGTTGAAAGTCAAATGTTTTTTATCCGGACAGCCATGGAATGGGTCTCACTCCGTCGCTCATCAGTCTGGGGAAAGAAGTTCGTGTTTTGGTCGCTTTTGCTTTGCATAGCTGGAGGTAAGTCGTCCATCCTTTTAAGACTCGCTTAACTGGCTGATCCGGGCGTGTATGAACTTGTCAGTTGTGTTGTTTAGTGAGCGACTAGTTGACTGGAGTCACAGATGGATTTTCTGTTTTAGAAAAGTCAGCTGTCACACACTGACATATATATATATATAGATAGATCTAAAAAGCATCTAGATGGACAAAACAGCCAACTTGCTGTGTCTTACGTGTCTGTACAAATGACAGTAAACCCTCTGCACACTCTGACTTTGGTATTTTAACCTCTGTTAGCTTTTTACCACATGCACTTGAACGCAGCGACCCTGTAAGCCCGTTATTTTATCTCGCGTGCCTCTTAAGTTTTTACTGAGTTGGTTTGTTGCTGTTTTGAGACAGAACATCTGGCGTGGAGCTGTTTAAACCCCCCGCCATGGATGCAGCCCAGTGGAGTGTAAATCCACCTTAAAGTCAGCGACTTTGAGCTTGACGAGATCAGAAGCCCCCCCCCCCCACCTTTCCCCCCAAGTTTCAAAACAACTTGTAAAATAAATGCAGCGGACACGAAAAGAGGCGCCTTGGACACTGGTCCGTAGCTGTGACCACCAGCGCATAATGTCCGTTGCTGATCTCAAAGTCCAGCTCCTTCACAGCGGTAATTCTCCCCTAAATAAACGCAGCATTAACAGGTTAACATTTTTCTGCTGCTGCTTGTGACGCTTCGGCATAACTGCTTTTATGTCTCACCGTGATGCTGTTGATGTTAAAAGTCTGGATCAGGTTGCCTGAAGCGATGGCATATCGCAAGGTGCCGTTCAAACCCTCATCTGGGTCAATGGCCGTTACCGTAGCGATGGTGGCACCCACTGTCTCCGGTCCCTCGCTCAGCACTGTGACGTACTCCTCTTCGGGGAACTCCGGGGCGTTATCGTTCTCATCCACAATACGAACGTAGATGGTGGTTGAGGTCTGCATTACACACAGAGAGACACAGAAAAGCATTCACAGCTGCATGCTCCGTTTAGAGTGATTTTATTTATGTGAATGACAGAAAAACGATTAATTTGTGGCAACTGAGGCTGCAAGGGAGTCTCAATATGAGTTCATACTTCTTTTGTATTACAATTACAATGAAACTACAATGAGTTATCATCAGTTGGGCGTGCATAGGTCAACAACACAACAAAGCAGGATTATTTCTAACATTTTCCGTTAAAGAGAAAACACTTGTGATGCTCTCATGTGACACTGGATATTCAGCATTTACTTTATATGAAGGAATAATAAAATAAAGAAATAAAAACAGGTGCATTGTTTGCTGAAAGAATATCTTGTGAGAACCAAAACTGCAAAATCATGAAAGTGAGCCATAAAGCCACTCATTTCTGGTTGTTCAGATCTTGGCACATCAGCAGAAGTAAAGGTATCACTGCATGAGATAAAGGTCATGCAAGTTCCTGCTCCACCAGTTCCCCAACCAGTGGTGCGATAAGAAAGAGCGACTAACCTGGCCCTTCAGGCTGGGGGGGTTAAATTCGTCATTCGAATTTTATAATGCTCCAAAAACAAAACCCACCAAGTGATAACCTGAATATCACCGCAGCTTTGTTTACTCTAAATAGTTTTTGGCTAAATTAAAAAAAAAAGAGAAAAGACCTCAGTAAAACTTTCGAGGCCCAAAGGTGAAGTGCGATCATTTTTCACAGGAAGATCAGTTTACTTGTAAAAGAGCTCTCTTACTATCACGTTTATGTTTTGTGTCCTCGTGATGCCACTGGGCTCATCTCAGTCTTAATTGTGCCTGAAAAAAATCTGATTGGAAACAAACAAAATCCCAGTTTGCTACAAACTGGATACTGAGCATTCGCAATAAACATTTTTGAGATTTATCAGAAATATATACTGCCACTCCAAAACATGTCTTCTGGGCTGCAGACTATCACAGACTAAACGTCTAGATATTTCTAGACATACCTAACTAGAAGTAAAATCTTACAAGTCAGCAGACATTTCCTGATATTGTGACGTCTCGCAGATATAGTGGTCAGATATGCACCAGTCTGAAAACAGAACAAGCTCATTTAGAAAC